ATTATTAGATATTTTGTTTAAGGGCACACTTGTGTGTTTTCGCCAGTCCACCATCTCCTCCTCCCCCTCCTCAGAGGGGGCCAGCTCAACCCCCTCCCATCTCAGAGAAGGATCAACAGGCTATTCAGGAAGCAGAACCCCCGCAAAGCGCTGGGCCTGACTCTGTCTCTCCATCCACCATAAAGTACTGCGCCGATCAATTGTCTCCGGTGTTCACGGACATCTTTAACACCCTACTGGAGACATGCCACGTGCCAGTCTGCTTCAAATCCCCAAAAAACCAAGGACCACAGGACTAAATGACTACATCCCCTTTGCCCTGTCCTCTGTGGTGCTAATACCATTATCCTGACCCTGCTGCAGGACATGCTCTCTCAGCTGAATGTGCCTGACTCCACTTGCAGGTGGATCACAGACTTTCTGATGAACAGGAAGCAGCACATGAAGATGAGAAAACATGTCTCTGACTCCAGGACGATCCAGCAGCTGCACCTCCAGTCAACAGTCCATCAAGCTTCTAAAGTTTACTGATGACACCACCCTCACTGGGCTCATCTCTGGTGGGGATGAGTTCACCGGTCTCAAAACTCCATAATACAAGCCTACGTTCCTTCTCGGCCACTACGCTCCTCCAACGAACGCTGCCTGCTCTGCCATCCATACACACAAAACAATCCCAGTCCCTGTTCTCTGTGACACCACAATGGTGGAAGGAGCTACCACATGCCATCAGAGCAGGGGCGTCCCTCTCTAACTTCAAGAAGCTCTTGAAAACTCATCTCTTCCAAGAACACTTTCTCTTGTAACACCTCTAACCCCTTACATCTTTCCTTAACTCTTACATTTCCCCTTCCTTCATTAACATCTCCCACCTAAACCAAATCATTAGAGAAAAAATATAGTATATTGGACTATTCTGCAACTCTGGATAACATGAGAAATATGTTTTTTTAACATACAGTATAATGCCAACAGACACTACAGTTATTAAGCTATGGTAAGTTATTAAGCTATGGTAAGGGTTAAGTAACTTAAGGTTAGGGAAAGATCATGGGGACATTGTAGATTTAGGGAAGCTACACTCCAGCACAACAATTGTGCTCCTCTGCCTCTGGACTGCTGGCCGCCCCATCACTCTGAGAACCCTGTAGTCCCACATCTTCCTCATCAAGACCCTTTTCAAGGCCCTACAGTGGTGGAATGAACTCCTCACTGAACTTAGGGAAGCAGTCACTGGACATTTTTTTTGAGTTCACCGGTCTCAAAACAGTGGAGATGGTCGTGGACTTCAAAAAGAGCCCAGCCCCACCTATAACCCTGTGTGACACCCCAGTCGACACTATGGACTCCTTCTGCATCTTGGGCATCATCATCTCCGAGGGCCTCAAGTGAGAGTTGAACATCAACCTCAGAGTCCTGGAGGACCTGTACGCCACTCAGGCATGCAGGAAAGATTGCAGCTCATGTACATATAAATATCTGCCTCATTGTTCTTTTTCTACACATAGTTCTATTATTCTTTTATAATTTGCATCTGTTTATTCCATATTTATATACTTTTTTATTTATTTATGTCAATTGCATGTTTGTCTGTGTGTAGCACCTTATCACCGAGGCAAATTCAAGACATGTAAAATATTACTTGGCAATAAAGCTCTGTCTTTCTTTTTTCTTTCTGATTTTAGTCAGTCCGTTGTACCTGCCCTGTATGAATGAGCACACGCTGCAGTTGTTCAGAAAGTTTTAACTGGTCAGAGTCCTGACACGATGGAACATTACTGACATTTGTGTTATTTACCTTTTTTTATTGTCAATATGCCAGTATTTGAGTGTCTTAACCTTTACAGTTAGAATTATGGGCCACTATTGAATTTTACTTTTTTTCAAAATAAATGGCAAAAATGTTTCGAACTTTTTTGCTGTCCCTGTTACACCTAAAACGTACCAACCATGACCACAAAACTGTACTGTGAATGTTGTACACCCTTATATATCTTCTTACTTACGATCTCAGGTAATTTCCAGTATAAAACATGAACTTACTGAGAGTTTCTCCCTAGCAATTAGGAATAACATGCTTCTCAATATCATTTTATGGCATTCTTTACGAAATGGTCAGCAGTGAGGTAAAAACTACATCAGTTGTAGGCATTTAACTAAAACCCACCATAACATATATTTTCGTTTAACAATAGATTTGTTAATTTTTTCATCATACAGCATGTGAGTATGTGAAACAGTCGCTTCATCATTAAATTGTTAAAGGGAAAAAAATCTTCCTACATGGGATCAAATTCACAACCTTATATTTGAGACTCTTGCGCTTCACCGACTGAGCTAACCGAACACCATAAAATTCAATTTATATATTATGTCTTATGTTCTCCCCCCCATCTAATGGACAAAAAAAATGCTTTATGACTTCTTCCTCCTCCTCTTCTTCTTCTTCTTTGAACATACATATTCAACATATTGATGAGCGTCTACACTACAATTCTACAAAAAGAAAAAGAAGAACGTAGTGATGAAAAGTGCTCTGTAGAGCAGTTTGTCCACTGTGGGCCACTGAAACAGCACAACATGGCAACGTCCATGTAAGGGGGACTTGTGGTTCATGTAGATAGAAATGGCACAATCTATGGTAATAAAAACATAACGGTTCATTATGTAAGATTTTATACACACCTGAAAACATAGTTATGGATATTAGAAGGTGTGGGGAGTCAGCCTGTCAGTGCTCAGACCATACGCTGCCCCCTGCATCAAATTGGTCTGCATGTCGGGGCGGCTGTGGCTCAGGAGGTAGTGCGGGTTGGCTGTTAATCGGAAGGTCGGCGGTTCAATCCCTGGCTCCCTTAGACACTATTCATACACTGAATGAAGATGGTGAATGCAGATGTAGTGTAAAAGCGCTTTGAGTGGTCTTGAGACTAGAAAGGCGCTATACAAGTCTACATGTCTGTTGTCCCAGAAGGAAGCCTATTCTAAAGATGATGTACTAGTAAGAAGATGTGTAATATTTTATTTTATTCAAATATGTGAGGGGTGTACTCACTTTTGTGAGATACTGTACACAATAAGTGGGACCTAAAGGTTAACCATCAAGGCCAACAGAGACTCTACTTCCTGAGACAACTCAAAAAACACATAGTCAGGCAGGGTTGACTGGTTCAATTTTACACAGTCATAATCAAAGCATTCTGTCACTATCGATTACTGTCTGGATGGTATGGATACACATCTAAGCACAAAGAAAATGGAAAGAAGTATCACCACAGAATCAAAGATCATATGCTCCCCACACTAGACTCCATCATACTCCATAAACACATGGCACCATCTCACGAGCAATCAAGATCATGACCAGTTCCTGAAGTGGACCAGTACTGACATTATTACTGACACTTCTACATTTTACTCTTTGACATACTGTGACAATTCTGACAGTCTGTCGATTGGTAATAGAGCAGGGCATCCTACTGTATAAGGGCCCTGCCTCCTCCTCACATCAAAGCTGGTGTCAATGTTTACAACTTCGATGAGAGGATAAAGCCAAAATATCCTTCTAGTCACAAAAATAGAGATAAAAACACTATGACAGTGAATTGCGGGAACAGCATTTAGGTAAACTTCTGTTCTTTCCTCTCCAAGTTTGATGTCAGATGTCAGCAGATAACAGTAACGTTAAGTTGATGTGCTAGCTGGCTGTTTGTCTCGCTAACCTAGCTCTCTCTCTACCTGAGTCTTCAGTTCCAGCTACTTCCAGCGCTGCATTGTATGACTTTGTGCTTGACAAAAGTGTTCTCCATGCCCCTCTCTAGCCAGCTCACAATCTTTATCAGCGTTTCCCATTTGGCACAAGGTACAGGTCACTAGGAGGCAGGACTAGCGGGGGCATCTTCCCCAAAGCCGTGTAGTTCATCCACAATGTCATCCACATGTCGGCTCAATTGTATTTGTATATGGAATTATGTGCTGTATATGTTTTTTTCTTTTTGCACTTATGTCCTTTATGTTTGCACTGCTGTTGTATATGGCCATTCAATCTGTACTGAGATTATAAGGTAACAAAAGAAACTTGAACTTCAAGTACAGCCTAAATATTTTTTTGTTGTATTTCTAAGTATTAAACTACAGTCGAGCTGCTCAGTGGCCGAAAGATCAGATTGTGGATGTGCCGGGAAGCTCCCAGGTGTGAATGTGGGCAACTTTGTGTGTGGCCAGAAGAAAAACTCCCCTGAAAAATAAAGGTTAAAAAAAACCTTTAAGGGCCCACTTTGTGCTTCCTCTATGCATAGAAAACTGTACCATACTCACATTCACGACAACTTGATAACAATAATATTATGTCATGAATATGTCTGCAATAAAACAAGCACTTTGATTCACACTATTATTCTATTATTCTCATTTGACAATAGTTTCCCAGAGTGGAACAAAAAATCAAGCTTTTTTGGTAAAAGGATCTAAAGACAATTAGAATACTTTGTGTACTGATTTTCTTTAGACCTGCCCCATTTCAAGCATAAGATGACTCTATCAACCTCTTAAATTCCACTTCTGCTCTTGGTGACTGGACCTCAGAGTAAGATATCCCTATATAGAAATAGAACTAGGACAATATAAGAATACTTCAAAGTGGAATGTCAGAAAAACTCACCATGCCTCTCCAAGCCAAGCTCCACAAAGACAGCAGGAAAAGGGTAGGGGACATAAAGCTCAGGCACATATGACACTGTAAGTGCACTAAATATAAGTAAAGGGTTCTGTGGGGTCATATAATCTGGTGGCAAGAGAGCTTCCAGATTTGTAGTCACACTATTAATAAGTTCAGGCCTATAACTTTTACAGAACCCCTTCATCTCTATCCTAGCAGCCTGTTGCTGCGACTGTTTTCCACAACCTTTCATCTCAAATTGTATATTCTTTAATCCCCAAAATAGGGCGATACTGATTAAAACCATGAAACACAACACATAATATTTTCAAAGAAAACTTACCTGTCTCTTCATCAATGGCAAATCGTCCAAGCCCACTCCCATCACGAATGGAGTACTGGATTTCTCCATCTCTGCCAGTGTCCTCATCATAAGCGGTGACTTGGAGTAGGGTAGTTCCAATCCGGGCATTCTCTGTAACTAATCCTGTCAAGGCAAAGTGGGAAAAGTATGGGGCGTAGAGGTTTTCATTCACATCTACAACCTCGACCTCCACAAAGGTGACAGAGAGAAGAGAAACGGGCCTTCCCTTGTCTTTGGCCTTCACAGTGAGATTGTAGAACTGCTGGGTCTCGTAGTCCAGCTCCTTTGCCAGACGAATAGCCCCGCTAGCCCTGTCTATCTCAAACCATCCATTGTAGTCATTGGCTAGAGAGTACCGGACCTGGCCTCCCAAACCCAAATCTGGGTCCTGGGTTTCTAACCAGGCCACAACAGTTCCTACTGGAAGATCCTCCAGAGCCCTAGCTTTGTACACACTGGGGATAAATAGTGGAGGGCAGTCATTAACATCCTCCAGTATGATTTTCAAAGTGGTCACAGAAAACCTCTGGCTCCCTTTCTCTGCCTTGTCCCGGGCCTCAATCTTCAGGTTAAAAGCAAAAACAAACTCCCTGTCTAGTTGTCCAGCAACATACACTATCCCATTGGTGGAGTTGATACCAAACTGGGTGGTGCTGGTCAAAATAGAGTACACAATCTCTCCACTGGGTCCAAGATCTTTGTCGGTGGCCTCAACCTGGATTACATCTGTACCTATGGCAGTGTTTTCAGGTATAACAGCTCTATAGCCTCCTTCTTGCAGAAACTGGGGTGAATTATCATTAGCATCCTCTATGTAGACAGTAAGCAAACGCCATGTAGTTTTTTGTGGCAGGCCAAGGTCATAAATAGTTAGGTTGAGGAGATAGCGATCCCTCTTTTCTCTGTCCATGGGCAGGAAGACACTGATAATGCCAGTCTCCATGTCAATGGTAAAACAACTGTCAGTGTTTCCATCTGAAATAGAGTGTAGAATCTGACCATTGAAACCTGTGTCACCATCGTAGGCATTCACCTTAAAAACACTTGAGCCTACCTTTAGGTCTTCCCGCACAGCAATATCTGTAGGAAAAGCTTTGTCAAACTGTGGCATTTGCCGATTGACAGAGAAAAGGTCAATAAAACCTGCCTCGATTTTAGGCTGGGTGCTAGCTTTGGACTTTTTGAGTAACTTTTCAGCTAACTTTTGGGCTACCCTTGTCTCTTTACAGTTGAAACTTTTGGGAACAGATTTCCCATGAACAACTGAGATGTTAACAAAGATAGCATCCGAAAAGTGCTCACCATCTGTGGCCGTTATTTTGAGACAAAAGACACTATTCTTTGGACTGGCTGTGGCAAGGGAACGTCGCAATGAGAGGACCCCTGAGTCAGGTTTCAGGTCAAAGAACCCCCATTCGTTCCCTGAAATTATCTTATATTTTACTAGCTCTAACTCATCTATATCAATCGCAGACATTGTAGTAATAACTTCATCCACTGGGAAATCCCTAGAGATCACCCCCTGGCATGCTACCTTCTCAAACAGTGGCTGGTTATCATTTACATTTTCCAGGTGGATTGTCACATTGACTTCACTTTCTCGCCTGTAAGGTGACCCCCAGTCAGATGCTCTGACAACAAACACAAAACTCTCTGATGAGGATTCAAAGTCCAACTCTTTAGTGGTGCTGATGATACCAGAAAACTGATTGATTTTGAAGGGTAATGGTTGAAGGCTGGAAATACTGTAAGTTATGTATCCATTTTCTCCTTTATCCTCATCCACAGCAGAAACTGTTAACACATTGGTCCCAACTGGTACACTTTCATTGACTAAAACCTCGTAAGAGGTCTGATCAAATGTTGGTGTGTTGTCATTGGCATCCTCAATAGTTACCCGCACTTTAACTTTGAGTTCACTATCTATTTCCAATACCTCAAGATTAAAGACATCCTGGGTCACCTGAGTGAACCAGCGAGTGGTGGAGATTACGCCTGTTAGGGTGTTCATTTGAAAGAAAACAGAATCTGCAGATGGTGTCAGGATATATTCTGCATCATCAGGCTCTGGCTTGATTTTAATAGCCTCTACAATCGTGCCTGGTGGTGAAATTTCATTCAGACTAAGCTCATACAACTCCCTCTCAAACTTAACTTCCACTGTCTGCTGTTTCTTGAGCAAGATGTGGACAACCTTAATGGCAGAGAATTTCTGTGGGGTTCCTTTGTCTTTAGCCTGCAAAGTGAGATTACAACCGTAAGGAAAAGTGTCCCAAGTTAGAGACTCAGAGGCCTTTATGGCAAACTCACCCTCCTCAGATTTTTCTACGGAAAACTGCTCTGAGGGGTCTCCACCCACAATGACTACTGAGTCTATTTCTCCATTTAAGCCTTCATCTAGGTCCTCAACAGTAACCGTGGCATACACAGGGTTTTTATCAAGCCACAAGGGGTTATGAGTGACTACGTTCATGACTGGGGCATATTCATTCACGCGCTCTACATGGACAAAAAGCTTGGCTGTGCTGCTGACTCCATTATTTCCATAGAGCTTCATGCCACGGTCCACCGCCAGGATTTCTAAGTCATACCGGTTCTGCTCATCAACATTGAGCTTTCCACTGAGAGAAACCACTCCACTAGTTGGGTGTACTGCAAACAGCTCCATTTTCTCCTTGAAAAAATAGTAAAACTCCCCATTAGAGCCAATATCTGCATCTGTGGCAGTAACTTGTGCTATACTAGTCCTGAGAGGGGTGCTCTCTGCTATGGTGACGGAGTAAGTGGTGGGTGAGAACAAGGGTCGTAGGTCATTCATATCCAAGACCTGGATGCTGACTTTAGTCCATGTCTCAAGGAGGGCCTCTCCCCTGACAGAGGCTTTAACTGTCAGTACATAATTATCCTGAATCTCTCGGTTCAAGATAGCTGCGTTGCCACCTTTAGTCCTGATGCGCAAGAAGCAGAAGTCACCCAGCACATACTCCTCTGCCTTGAAAAACCCTTCATCATCACCTGAGGTGATTCTGTAGCGGATCTCCCAGGAGCGTTGGGCCAGGTGGATTCCCATTTTAACTTTACTGTTGGCATAGGTGCGTGCTGCAGAGTTTTCATAAACTGTTGCATGGTAGACAGCCTGTGTGAAGCCAAAGTGAGGTCCATCTGGAGGGGCCCCCTGGGTGTTCTGGCCACAGCAGGGTGGTGGCTCGAAGAGCAGCAACTGCAGCAGAAGGGCCAGGCAGAGGAGAGGGACTTGCATGCCTGCCCACTGGCCCATATTCACATCCATCCCATCATCAGTCCATTCTGAAACAGAAGGAGACACACAGAAACACTTGCAGTTAATTGCAAGTTTCAGAAAAACCAGAGGTGGTTTGTGAAGGAACAAAATAATTGTACAGCTAAGAAGAGAAGTGTAACATCACCAAAACAAACAAGAAAATGATGGGCTGCCACACCATGACCCTATCATAACCCCTTTCCTGAAATACATGAAAACTCTAGCCTTACATCTCAAATGTAAAATCTCCAGAAGAAACCAGATATGGATAGTCAAATAGCAGCTGTGTTCAGATTTTGTTCTCTTTTTCAGAAAAAAAGTGTTTTGAAAGTAAACTGCCACAAATATGTGCTTATCTGGGTTTTGGGAAGAAAGCCTGATCTGGCTCTGCTGTGGCCATAGGAGTGCCACAATGGTCTGTATTTTGATGACTCTGCACTTTCCACTGCAAGGGATGGAGAGACGGGGTGGGAAAAGACAGACATTGTCCAAGCGCACTGATAATAACACACTGCTGAACTACATGGGTAAATCTACAAAGACTCTCCTGCTGGAAGTGTAGCAGTCAGCTTTTGAGAGCCATCTCTCCATTACAAAATTAGGCAGGGAGGCATAGTAATGATACTTGCATAAACCCTTTCAACCCAGGCTGTGACCACAGGCATTTTGTTCACTTTTCTATCCAAGGAAGGTTAAAATCAAGGGCAACTGGACTTGATTGAAGATACTCAAAGACGTTTCGTCCCTCATCCAAGAGACTTCAGTTCTGACTAAATGTTAGGGAAACTCGGCTATTTAACCTCTGTGGGTTGGTTTTCCAAGATGATCGATCCCACTTGTTCGTTAGTGCTCCTGGCACTTGTAACATCATGCTACATTAGCAACTAGCAGTCCCTGTTTGCACTGTAAGCAAGGACGGAGATTATAATACATTACAAGACTAAATCAAAATTTTTTCCAAACAGCTTTATAGACTATTATCTTTTCAGGACATGATAGTGATACCATCAGTGGCAAGAGTAAATCCTACTGATTCCTGCAATGTGTGTGTGTGTGTGTGTGTGTGTGTGTGTGTGTGTGTATTTAGGTTTTGTTAGAACTAGTGGTTTAACAAAACAATCACCAACAGCTACCATGTGCCACTAGCAAAATGTCTTGGAGAAAGGCACTGGACTTCTCAAGATTTCTTAGAAAGAAACCAAGACAGTCAGTCAATTTCCCCCCTTATAGTGCTTATTATTACATGTATGCTGGATAGCAAATATGTGGAAAACATTCAATAGACTACAGTTGCCTGTGGAACCACTGCTGTTACTAATGTAGAACTTGAATTTAGCTGTTATTTTCAGTTCTTATAATTCCACAATGCCAGAGAGGCAGTCAAATTGGGAAGTACCATAAACACATCTGGATGAAGTATTCCCTGCTGTGTGTGTGACACCACACACACATACACATCAGAGCTTATTCCTGTCCCCTACATGTAGTGTTTTGCCCTAAGGGCTTGCTGGAGTGCAGTGAGCAGCTGGTTGACATTGAGCATATGTACCTGATATACTGCTCTGCTCTCCCCTTAAGATAATACTATTGAGATCAGTGACAACATTGTTCTAACGGACTATCTACCATAGAGAGAAGCCATCGGCAGGCTGGAGATGCCATGTCACACCCTACTACATATTTCTGCTTGGGCTTGTGTTTTCACCAAAAGTATACTTCTCTTTTTTAACGTCTGTGTGTGTGTGTGTGTGTGCGTGTGTGTGTATGTAGATAGAGGTGAGAAACAGAGTAGGGCAGCACAAGGGAATGAATAAACTTTTGATTTTGGTATTTCTTGTATTTTGCGTATTATAGTATGTCATGTATTATAAATTATATTTACTGTATTTTGCTTTATTGTTGACCATTTCAAAAGCACAGCATATTGTTGTAGATTTCTGTATGCATCTTTTCTGTTTGCCACACAAATTAAGTAGCAGAGACTTGAAACATTATTACAACAGCCATCACACTGAACATCATCTGTTTTGGTTAGGGTTTGTATCAAGTATCTGGGATGTTCATTTTTTTTACAAGCAAAAGTCTGCACAGAACACAATTTGACAGCAATAAAATCTGTAATGATCTACAATGGTGGGTTAACTACATGTATCAAAAGCATGTATAAGTCTTATGTATAAGACAAGTTAAAAATGAAAGGAAACCAATGGCTGCCTGAGAAGTATAAAAAACATTCAGTCAACAGGAATGTAACATAACATAACTGTGGTTTGTAGTTCACTGTAGAAAAGCTCCCTCCACAACAGTCACAGAGATCACGGTTGTGTTTGGAAATTGTAGTTCCTTGAAACAGGGAAAACAATCTGCCAATATGAAATTATTTAATTGGTTCCCTTGAAGTTGTATTCACTCTGTTATTCCTGCATAATACCTTACTCTTTATAGTTCTAAGATGATAATAAGAAAACAATCAAGCTAAAACATGCTAATTTAATACAAACAACTGTTGTCATTCAAAGTGCAACCAGAGAGATGCCACAGTTGAATCAGTAAGTCTGGGGGAAAAACCAAAGAGCTCTGACACTGTTTAGGGTTCAAATATAACCTTTATTTAATCAGGTCATTGAATTTAAGATCTCTTTTGCAAGAGAGAACTGAGTACGGCAGAGAGAGGAAGAAAAACAAAGGGCCTTACATGCCAAAAGTTCTGGAAAAAACAAGTATGTGGTGCGAGAGCTGGAATTATTTTGTCAAACTGACATATATTGAATCATTGGAAACTTTTAAGATGTTTACAAAAATCGAAATTAAAGTTCTATTGGTTTGAGCAACGTTTGGCTGTACCACACAAGTGTGTAATGATCGACACGTAGAGTTACAGCGGCAAATCATTGTTCTTAAAAGTTAATATTCCTTTGAAGAAACTGCAGACACAGGACATTGAACTCATTTGTTTCTCTGCTCTTAAGTGCATAATTGCCATGTTGTTTCTATACAAGCAAACACAAGCGTGTCTGCTAAATGTTCGCCACACACACCACAATGGACTGATGCAGAAAAACACTATCATTCTCCACACAGAAGCCACACTTACAGCTCTAAACACCGTCTCATTAGCTCTTCATTACAAGCTAACTGGCCTTGAATTGTGTGGCAAACCAACGCATTCTCATCTCAGTGCATCATTACCGACTCTTTCAGACCGCGTGACAAAGTGTAATTATTTGACGCTAAAGGTACCCTTCAGTGTCCAACAGGGCTGGACTGGGACAAAAAATCAGCCCTGGCATTTTTGGCCCAGGTGGCCAACTAATCTCGGTCGGACACCCCTTGTATGGATGAAATAGTAGGGGGGTCTGGGGGTCCTCCCCCCAGAAGATTTGGAGCATTAAACACTTAATTTCCTGCATTCTCGAGACATTTTCTGCACCAGGGAAGCACAACTTGGGACTGCATTACATCCTGCAACACCTTGACTCTCCAGGGACATATGCTAGGATCCTGTTTGTGGACTTCAGCTCGGTGTTCGACACCATCATCCTGGACATCCTCAGCACCAAACTCACCCTGCTCACTGTGCCAGCCTCCACCTGTCAGTGGATCACAGACTTCCTGACTGACAGGAGTCAGCAGGTGAGTCTGGGGAACATCACATCCAACACCCGGACTATTTTCGCTGGTGTCCCCCAGGGGTGTGTGCTCTCCCCTCTGCTCTTCTCCCTCTACAACAACGACTGCACCTCAGGAGACCCATTTGTAAAACTCCTGAGGTTCGCTGATGATATGGTCATCGGCCTCATCGGCCTACAGATGGGAGGTTGATCAGCTGGCTCTCTGGTGCGGCCAGAACAACCTGGAGCTTAACACGCTCAAAACTCTGGAGATGATCGTGGACCTCAGAAGGAACCCCCCACTCTGTCCCCCATCACCATAGTCCACAGCCCTGTGTCTGCTGTGGAATCCTTCAGGTTTCTGGGATGCACTATATCCCAGGACCTGAAGTGGGAGCCCAACACTGACACCATCATCAAGAAGGTCCAGCAGAGGATGTACTTCCTGCTCCTGCTCAGGAAGCTCACTCTGCCTAAGGAGCTGCTGATCCACTTCTACACAGCCATCAGCCAGTCTGTTCTCTGCACCTCCATCACTGTCTGGTTTGGATCTGCCACCAAAAAGGACAGGAGCAGACTACAACGGACAGTCAGGACTGCAGAAAAGATCATCGGTGTCAACCTGCCCTTCATTCAGGACTTTTTTATACATTTACAGAGACAGGAAATGGGCATGAAACATTACTACAGATCCATCTCATCCCGGACACAACCTGTTCCAACTTCTCCCCTCTGATAGGTGCTACAGAGCACTATACGCCAAAACCAACAGACTCAGGAACAGTTTCCTCCCATAAGCCATCACTCTGATGAACAGCTGACTTCTGACTCACAGTGTCAGGAAAAATTCCGGTGCAATAACCTTTCTATTTCAGAGCTGTTGTTACTGTTCATATTGTATATTGTATATACTGAATATCAAATCCACCTACCTCAAGTACATAGTACCTGCACATAATACTTATTTATTCCAGCATCCTTTGCACTATGCTCCATCGCACTGTGTATATTTGTCCATGTATGCATATATGTGTATGTGCACCTGTATATCTCACCTACCTCTGACATGTACATGTAATAATAATAATAATAATGGTAATAATAATTTACTCCTGCATTCTTTACACTCTGCTCATTGCACTATTCTGTACATAGACTGTTTATTTTGGGGTATTTTCCTTGCTCTTGTTCTTCTTCTTCTCTTTCTTCTTGTCCCCATCTGGCAAAGATGAGGGATGGTCTCGACAGGAGCTCACCTATTCCTTCTCTGGTTAAATTTAGCTGGTTAAGAGCAGAAAACTAAAATGACTCCACTAACAAGCTTAAAACATGGCTCAACAACATGAACAGTTTTACAAATATGTGGCTCCTCAGTCAAGGTTTGTTTTTAGCTTCACACCATTAATATTAGCCAA